TTCCTGTTTAAATAACTCTATTTTAAAAAAACAAAAAAACCCATATATAGAAATCAGACTGAAAGGAAGTATCACTGTTACCACAGGATGTTTTTACTAGGATTTTTTTTCTTCCTCCATGCTTTATTTCCTAAAATAGGCATGTATTAAATTTATACACTCATTAGAAAAGTATGTGAAAGTGGGTATATTTCTGGAGCACTGTAATCTTTGCAGATAGTTTAGATGTCTTCTGAAATTCTAGTTCTGGTTTTCACTTTAAATACACATGTAGAAATGCAGTAGAATTTCAAGGCTCTTCTTTTGGAAGCTTTTGTTGTTTCACACCTTATATTGTTAAGTTCTTATCTCTGTGCTTTCAGATTTTAATTGGCTAAATTAAGTAAATGTCCTGAATATAAAATTTTTTAAGTTTCATTAAAAAATTAGCTGTGTAACCGTGGGGGCATACCCTATCTGTTTTCTCATCCGAGGTGATGATGACAATGATACCACCTATGTCACTGGCAAGTCACTAGGATTAAATGAGCTAATCCATGAGAGGCATTTGGAAGTGTGTGGCATGCAGCAAGTACTCAGTAGATGTTAGCTATCACTTAGCTAAAAGCCAACACCCATGCACACTCGCACGCGTGCGCACCCAGCAGTGGAGAGGTAACCAGATGATGTCAACAGTTAAGTCCTCGTGTAGTTGGCCAAGTCACTGTGTTGCCTCACTGTGCGGCTGGAAGTGAGGGTTTTTCCCCCTTTGATGAAATAAAGCAGTTTTCAGTTGTTTCTAGCTGTCTAGAATATGAGTAGAAATGAAAACAGTTCTTTTAAATTGCTAAATTCTGGTGATGTTTACCCATTTTGTAAAAATCCCATTCCCTGTATTTTTTCAAGAAATGTGGAAGCAAGGGGGACCAGCAGTTAGTGTAATGGCTATGTCGCTGGACTCCCACGTAGTGGACCGTGGTTCAGGTTCCGGACCCGGTGGCTTAAACTCACGCCGGGCACATGTGCGTGTGTGCCCAAGATCCTAAGAGGAGAATGGAGGAGAAGGGATTGCGGCGTGGCCATCTCCCCTCGGGGGTGATTTCTTGCTTTCTATTTATTTCTCTGTCTCTGTCTGTCTGGTGAGCGCATGCGCCCTATAGCAAAAACCTCTTCGGAAAAAAAATAAAATAAATGTGGAAGCAGAATATTTAGGTCTCCGCTTTTCCTTCGGTTTCCTTCAGCCTCCTGCTCCCTGCTCTGTTCTTCTCTTTAGGAGCTCCTCCGGGCCATTCTGTTTGTGGTTAGCGTTGGGAGCGGTTGTCTTCTCCCTGTGTGTCACTGCGTTCACTGCGCAGACTTCTCCCTCCCTCTGTCTGTCTTGGTTTTCTCTCTCCAGCTTCTCATTGTCCTGCAGTCTGCCACTTACTCTCTTTACCTGGCCTCGATTTAATCTGGAAGGATCTGTCTTTTGTTTTTAAAACAAATTTCTACTACCTTGTTTTTCACCCTGGTTTGTCTATTTTTCTTTAAGTTTTAATGGAAATAACACATTGGTTGATTGAAGTTTCAAGCAGGCTAAACTCTGTAGTGCTGGGATTTTAAACCACCTCATCTCTCTTCAAATTATGCCTATTCTTAGGCAGACGCGTGGTGTGGTGGTTAAGGGCACTGGGCTCCCACATGGCCGACCTCGGCTCGACTTCCAGACCTGGTGGCTTACTATCTCACCTTCTCTCTCTCTCCATCCCTTTCTGGTCAAATTAAAATAAATAAATAAAAGGATAAATAAAGTTAAATAAAATAATTATTTTTAAAAAATGTAGCCTATTCTAAAATATGACAGATAACACACATAAAATCTGAACACTCTTTACATGGTTGAATGTTCACTTTCCTTTTAATTCGACACTGCAGGTAACATTCAGATATCCTGGATTGATGACACATCAGCGTTTGTTTCTCTCAGCCAGCCTGAGCAAGTACAGATTGGTAAGTGTTTCTGATATCCGTAGGATGGGAGCTTGTCCTGCTACCAGCCTCCTCTCAGTTTAAAAGCTGTGGCTTCAGTCACTTGATTAACAACATTACTGCCTTATTTTGTCTTTTGAGTCTATCTCTAAAATAGAGAAAATAGTATGTGTAGATGAGAAACTAAAACAATGTGTTGCCTCATTAGCTATATTACAGAGTATATGTTTTCACATACCTCCACTCTGTTTTCCCACTGTGTTTTCCTAAAGTGAGTTGCAGATTTGAGAATTAGAAGGCACGCAGTGAAGGACTAGGAGATACCAAAGTGTGATAGTGGCTGAGCTGCTCATCCTCGTGCTTTTCCCACTCATCTTAAAATGTTTGTGATTTATTCACCCCATTAAACTTGTAGCAAATATTTGTTTTACAAACAAACTGACTGGGATTTTATTTGCTTTTAAAATTGGGCTGTAAAAAGATAGAGCTCACATCTCTTGTTGGACCCTACGTAAATTTGATATTAACCATCACTAAGTGTTCTCTTTTAAGGTGAAAAGTACTGAATAAAATATTGAAAAAAACATTGTTAAGCTACATATTCCAATAGATTTCGAGTACCCTGGTGCTTAATAATGTAAAAGTTGTGACTATTTTATTTCATTTTTTAAAGTTTTTGCCATAGGGCCTGTACACTTACCAGAGAGGGAGAGACGGGGGGAAAATGAGAACTCATCCGCTAGATGGGATGGCCACACTGCAATCTCTTCTCCTCCATTCTCCTCTTGGGATTTTGGGCACGCACGCATATGTGCCTGGCATGAGTTTTAAGCCACCAGGTCCAGGACTGGCCATGTGGTAGTCCATTGCCTCAACATCCAGGTGGCTTGGGGAGAGCCACCTGCTCTCCTTAAGCTGTGACAGTTTTAAGCGATACGTCTAATCTTTTCTATTTACCAAAGTGCCACACACTAATTAATTCCTATAACGTAACTATTGAGAATTTTGTATGAAAACTTTCACAAACATATAAATTAAAATTAGAATATTTCGGTATTTTTCTTTATCAATAATTGTATGCCCATGACTCTGCTGTAGAGCTTAAAAGCTTAATCTCTGGGATAATACAGCAACACCAACCATAGTCATGTGACATTGGGCACCTTAACTATTTAACCTTGATAGTTTCTGGTCATCTCTATAACCAGGCATAGGTGTGGGTGTAGCAGAGGATAACAGACTAGACCTAAAATCGTTGTGAGGATCAGACAAGATTGCGTATATGAAGTGTGCCATAGCTTTGTGCTTTAGCTATGGTTAAGAAAGAGCAGATTTCAAAGCGAGGTGTATTCCAGGAGCACATGACACCAAGAGCAGTAGTGGATGCAGGGTGTGAACGGTGTTGCTTGTTAACTATTTTAAATTGTGTTTATGTGTGTGTCTATGATCCATTCTTCTACCATCCTTAGAAAGATGGTTTAGATTGACTCCAAAGGGAACAAGTGATTAGAGAGCTAAAGATGATTTCAGGTGGGTGGTAGGGACCCCGAGGTTAAGAATGTGGTGAGGTCTCAGTGAGGCTGGGAGGAGACTGGACTAGAACTCCTGACCTGCAGCCTCGTTCTGCCTCCACTACCCAGTGTCCATGGTTCAGCTCTCTGGTGGGTTACAACTGGTGACATTGAAGCTGTGCAATGCGGTGGAAGGATGCAGAGGGACTGAAGTCAGACTGACACAAGGACAGACTGCCTCTGGCCCTAGTCAGCCGTGTGTCTCTGGGCCAGTTTTGTAAGCCCTCTAAGCCACGGGTTCCTTGTTTGTGAGAGGGCATGATACTAGTTACTTTGCAGGATGGTCCTGAGGATGAAATGAGACCATGGGTATTAAGTCCCAGCACGTCAGTGCTAGACAAATGGTAGGTAATTATTAAAATATCTGCTTGGCCTCCCTTGCTATGAACAATGAAAATGAGTATGTGTAGAAGTGGTTTGAAAACTGTGAAACACTAGTTAGTAGTAGTTACTAGAAAATAAAAGCGTAATTCCTTGTTTATGTGTCTATGATGTCACCAGTTTCTTTCAACATTCTGTTGTACCCTGTTTGATGTTTAATAAAGGTTACTCCCTTATTTCGTAGTGGGAGGCTTTTCATACGGTAGCTGTAAAGCTGAGCATTATATTCAGTGATGACTAGCATCAGGGAGCTGAATTTCAGGATCATGCTGGCCCCAGAAGCACTCTGTGGTATTTCGTTAGCTCATTCCTGTCCCATCTTGCTCCTCACTGATTCCTTGGTCGTGCCTGGCACACACTGTGGTTTAAGTAAATGCATGTGTCAATGGGTGACACTGGGAATAGGCCAAGATGAAATTGTGACCTTTTACCTTTCCTCCTTGGACGACGAAGGACTGTTGTCTTTCAATGTGTGTGGCGGTGCTAGTAAAATGTAATGTCCCGCTATAGTCTCTTTTCCCACACTGCAAACAACAGGATAGTCGGCAGTTGGAACATGCTTTGCCTCTGACAGTCGTTTCCTTTGCCGGAAGCCATCCCTTGTTCAACCACTGCCTCCCTTAAGAGCCTGAGTAGGCCTCACTTCCTGCTTTGTGTTGGCTTAAACATCAGTGTCTCTGGCGTATTCTCTAGTCCCCTTTGTAGGGGGTTAGACCCGCTCTCTGTGCTTGCGAGGCTTCCTTTCTGCCTATTCCACTGCTTTCACATGTAGAGGGTCTCTTTGTGAAGGGGGACCACATCTCTTGTTCACCATTGTGTTTTCACTACATAGGGTATTAATGTCTGACACTAGTGAGTAAATGTAAAATGTTTATTGAATTGAATAAGTGACATTCATGGTATTATGCCTTTGAAATGCCTTTTTGCATATGATGTAGCTGATGTCTCTGGTCTTTTGCTGTGATTTGTAAAATTAGGCAGATGTTTCATGGAAAGACAGTGTGGAATTTGTTTTTCATTGTGGTCATTCTAATGATAGGGACCCAGGGTATCTGAGGTGCTGCAAATCCTATTAATGTTATCTTAAACAAATTACTTATTCATTTCAGCGGAAACAGAGGGCCCATTAGGTCAATAATGCAACATTGAAAAAAAAAATCATTAAGTGTCTATTTATATAGCAATTCGTAATGGCTTCTTTGGCTCTGTTACAAATTCTTCCTGATTTATGTTTAAGGAGTTGCTTTCTAACTGGTACCTACCTTTCTTTCTTTCTTTTTTTTTTTTTTGCTAATACTAATCAAGATATTTTTTCAACACCTTGAATATGAAAGTTCTCTTTTTATAGGAAACTGTATTCTACTCATTATTAAAATTCTTCTCAGGTACCATTTGGTTTGATCCCTGTTGCTTTTTGTTTGTTGTTGCAATGAAATGAGGGTCTCTGGTGGCTTTGGGGTATTCAGGTAAGTGATAACTCATGCAAGACAGACATGTAGCATTCTCCCCTCTGGTTCTTCAGATGCGGCTGGACGTGGCTAGTGTAAAAACTTGATACCGTGGAAACAACCATTTATCCTCACCATTAAGGGAATTTTTCTTAAAGTAGCAAAGTAAGAAATCACCTTTAATGACCACATCTGAATAGCTCATTCATATTTAGTGAGGATTTATATATTTCTAATATAACTTTGTTAAATGGGGCGCAGAGCTCAATAGCATTTCAAACGTGGTGGAATGTTCTCATCATACCCAGAATTTAGACAGTGCCTCGCTCCTTCTATACATGATAGACCATTATCTCTCTGCCTATAATTTTTAGAGAAATAATGGGGCAAATAGCTTTTATTGTGTATTTTGAAAGCTAGAGATTGGATCACACTGTGTATGCTACGAGACAATTCTAGAAAGCAGAAATTGATAAAGGCTTTTTAGAAGAGGTAGAAAGCCCACAATTATTTGGTAAAACCAGCCCAAATTCAGATCATTGTGTAAATTCCTGTATGCTGCCTTAGGGTCTTGTTCAGGATGATTTGTGAGGGTAGGGGAAAGTACTTGGCTCTCCCTCAGCCCACAGTCTGTGATTATATTAACTCATACTTTAAAAGCCCGGCTTTTGATTGTGCTGAACAGTTAAATACTGGAGTTATACAACTCTTTCATGGTGATTATTCAACACTCAGTTTGCTAAAAGACCGCTATAACTTTAAACTTTATTTGTGCTTTTTATTATCCTTTTAATGTTAGCAGGATCCGTAGTGATAACTGCCTTTTATTTATGGTCTTGGTAATTTGTGTTCTCATTTTTCTTTGATCACTTCTAACTAGGAGTTCCCGATTTTGTTGATTTTTTTTTTTTTCAAAGCATCAGCTTGTCTTAGTTCATTTTTCTGTATTATTTGCTGTTATATGTGCTATTTGGTTTCTTCCTTAAAAAAAAATCCTTCCTTTACTTGCTTTAGGTTTACTTTGCTATTAGTTTTTCAGTTTCTTGAGACAGACCATTCTGTAATTTTTTTTCTTTGCCAGAGGTTACATAGGCCCCTCAGAGAGAGGGAGATTAAAAAGCATGTGATGTTAATATAATCACTCTGTTTTTTTGTTTTCCTGATATCCTTTTCCTTCCGTTTACTCTGAACCTATCCATGAATATATAAAAAATGAGTCTCTTGTAGACAGTGTTTAGTTGGATGTAGCTTTTTAATCCATTCTAATAATGGACTTTTTTTTTTTAAGAGAGATTTTTTACTAGAGGGCACATGTGCTCAACCGAGAGAAAGAAAGGGAAAAATCACCCCCCAGGGGGATGGCCACACCAAACCGCAATCCCTTCTCCTCCATTCTCCTCTTGGGATTTTGAGCATGCACACACACTCCCTGCGTGAGTTTTATGCCACCAGGTCCGGAACGCAAACGGGTCAACTATGTGAGTCCAGCAACATAACCATTACGCCATCTGCTTGTCCCTTAGTAACTGACTTTTAATTGAAATATTAAGTCCAATTTAATGTTATTGTTGATATGATTAGTCCTATTATTTTTAAACGTTTTGTTGATTACCTCTGTGTT